ATAGGAAAAAAAATTAGGGTAGAAATAATATGGTCTCGTCAAGATGAAATAGGATAGTGTGAGTGCAAATAACATTACCCATACATGTAAAACATGCATGTTTAGTGTCACAAGCACTAGAACAATGGGAAAACGTTCTCTCTCTATCTCTCTCTCTTTTTTTTTTTTTACCTCAATTTGGGAATCCGTGATAAAAAAGCATAATAAAAGGCCACTTTTTAGTAATTATTCATACAGACTTATGTAATAATTTGAGCGACATGGAATACAAATAGTCAACTCTTATCGTTTGGCAAAAAAAAAAAGAGAAGGAATACAAATATTCATTTACCATATTAATCTGGTCTTGGAGTCTACCTAATAAGATTATCACTACTCCTAACACTAAAACACTCGAGATCATTGATGCATTTATGTCTAGTAAATTGTCCTCTAATACATATAGGATACAACTAATGAACTAAGCAATTCAATAATATGTGTGATCATGAGGGCGACCAAATGTATATAAATTCTAAAACATATGTGAGGGCTGATGATGCATCAAGGTCTGGCATCTCGAACACCTGCAAGTCCTTTTCTACCAACAAAAGATTCCCCAAGTTGATTTATCTTGTTTGAAACAAATCCCTATCAGCTCAAGCCTTCCAGTATTTTAGTAGACTAATGTATCTTATCCATTCATGACAAAGGTCAATTTAGCATTAGATATCCGCATTATATAACTAGTGTATGATTTCATCTCCAAAGCTAGGAAATGTCTGGAGGACCCCCAGTCCAGTAAGCATTAATAGTGCCCCAACTGAAAGACAAAGCTGGCATGGACTTCTCTTGTAATCATAGAACACTGATTTCCAGCTCCGTCACAGTATAAAAAGCTCAAGAAAATTTATTTAGAGCTGATTATCAGTTCATAACTGAATCATGGGTATCAACGAGGTTATCATGTTCTGTCTCTTTAGTACTTTTCTAATCTACATCCTCTGGACTTTCTTTAGATTCCTTCATAAAGTATGGTGGATTCCTTGTCGAATTAAGAGGATCATGAGTTCACAGGGAATCAGTGGCCCTGCTTATAAGTTTCCCTATGGAAATACTAAAGAGATCACAAACATGAGAAATCAATCTATGAGCAAACCTATGGAGATATCTCATGATATCTTTCAAAGAATTCAGCCTCATGTTTACTTATGGACAAAAATCTATGGTCAGTATAATTTTCCAAAATTTCAACACATAAAATGTATATTTGCTGATTTCTTGTTTCTGTGCTACAATAAGATCCGGTTGGCGAGCTTGTTTAAGTTCAATACTGATTTTTCTTCTAAAAGTAGCTCCATTTTTCTTTCTAGTTATGATGTTTATTCCTTTCTGGTTACAGGCAAGAACTATATCAGTTGGCATGGCTCACAAGCCCAACTATTTGTAACAGATACAGAGATGATCAAAGAAGTATTGACCAACAGAGAAGATGCTTACCCAAAAATGGATATGGAAGGCATTGCTAAGAAATTGTTAGGTGAGGCACTCATAACAAATGAGGGAGAAAAATGGGCAAAAGTACGCAAACTGGCTAACCACACATTCCATGCGGAGAGCTTAAAAGTAAGTCTTCTATTAATCACATCACAGAGTCAAGAGTATGAAAGTTTGTAGTCATCCTGTGAAAATGGGATTTGAATTTGGGACATGATATTGCTTGCATAATACCCTTAACAAGATTTGCTACTTATAAGAAAAGCTTTTGGTACAGAGAATGGTTCCAGAGATGAGTGCGAGTGTTGAGGTGATGCTGGAAAATTGGAAACACCACGAAGGGAAAGAGATTGATGCATTCAAAGAATTTGGATTACTGACCACTGAAGTAATTGCCAGGACAGCTTTTGGGAGTAGTTACAGGGAAGGGAAGCACATATTTGAGATGGTGGCAAAGTTGACAGCAATAGATGTCAGGAATGTTTACAAAATTAAATTTCCTGGTATCAGGTAAAACATGTTTTTTTTTTAAAACTAAATTACTCATTTATTGAAGTATTTTGCATCCTGAACTCTATCAAACAGGATAATTAAGATGTAACTTAACTAGTTCTCCACTCATAGTTGTGGGGTAAATCCACAAGAATGTAAGAAGATTAGTAGTTCTGCTCATCTATCTCGCCACTCAAACATTTTTGCAGCATGTTAATGAAATCTAGTGATGAGATTGAAGCAGAGAAACTTGAACGAGGAATCAAAACCTCCATTCTAGAACTAGTCAAGAAAAGGGAAAAAGGAAGAAAAGGTGAAACTGAAGATAATGCGATCGACTACCTTGGAGAATTAATGAAATTGACTCGTGACACTAACATAAACAAGAGGATCACACTGGAACAGATGATCGACGAGATTAAGGCATTGTTTGGTGCCGGACATCTTACAACCACCAACCTGCTTGGGTGGTGTGCTTTCGTCCTTTCAGTGCATGGTGATTGGCAAGAGAAAGCACGAAAAGAAGTCTTTGAAATATTTGGAAATAAAAACCCAAGTTCTGATGGGATTGCAAGGCTAAAAACAGTAAGCACATCATCACCTGAATACAAACATACTGTATTCATCAGATTATTTTCTAGTCCTCAAACAATCCTTAATAATGACTGTTGATTCGATTCTAACCGAGTTCCTTCCTTTTGTGTACAGATGAACATGATCATTAACGAATGCCTCAGACTATATCCTCCAGTACTTACAATGACTAGAAAAGTTGGAAGGGAAGTTAGACTAGGAAACCTCAGACTTCCAACAAATATAAACATATACCTCCCAATTCTAGCACTGCACCACAACCCTGAAATCTGGGGCAAAGATGTTCACCTCTTCAAGCCAGAAAGATTTGCAGAAGGGGTGGCTAAAGCAACCAACAGCACCGCTGCAGCATTTTTCCCATTTGGTTTGGGTCCTCGAACTTGTGTGGGATTGAACTTCACCACCAATGAAGCAAAAATTGCATTGTCAATGATTCTGCAACGTTACAAGCTCACGTTGTCACCAAATTATGTCCACTTCCCTGCCGACATCTTTATTCTTACCCCAAAATACGGGGTTCAAGTGATCCTCCAGGCAATTAGTTAGTGGCTTGCAGCTTCAAGAAATAGATGTGGGGTGTTGATGTGTGATCTTATTGTAATTTTTACTCCTTATTATGATTGTACGTAGAAGAACCACAAGATTAGTACAAAGTCCTCATTATTTATTTTTTCTGCTTGGTCATGCCCATAAGAACCCAGCTAAGCTAATGGCTTAACAAGCTGCAACTGATCATATGCCCTCAGAGGTATCTATCTATATGCAATTGCACGCAAACTGCTACTTGCAAAGAGATTAGAGGACCCTATTCGTTTATGAAAAGCAGATTGATTTGCGAAGATGAGGCAAAGGGATTTGGAAAATAGCTCGAAATACAAGTTAAAACACAGTGAAGATGCAGAACTAGTACCGTCATAAACAATATATTTAAACAGTTAAGTGAGCTGTGTGTTTTTCAAGTTTATAGGTCGGCTGCTTTCAAACCAATCTTTTTCTAGAACTCTTTAATCAATGGTGGCTTTACACATTCAATTATTTTGTTTATCATAAACTGATATTGATGTAAAATCAAACTATTTTTTTGGGTAGGTGTAAAATCAAACTATTACGAATGACATATCCTCCTCCGTGGTCCAGGGAATAAAAATACAAGAAAAATATTACTATTTTGTACACAAAACTGATTTTGTGATTGGACTATTGCAGTATTTTGCAAATATGAAACAGATGTTGGAAAGCAACAGGGCTTTCTGAATGTTCCCACATGGTTCTGCCCATCAAGGAAAATCTATCATCAACTCTACTGAAGTAATATACTACAATCTTTCAATCCAGCAACGAAACATCTTCTGTGAAATCATCATTTTCTGATCCAGCATCAAGTCCTTTCGGGATTTATGGACCACCACTGGAGAAAACGAGAGAAATGGTGATAATTAAGTGCCATAATCTCGTCACGGAGAATATGTCTATTAATTTATCTGATCTTGATAATGTGGATGAGATCATTGATGGATGAATCCAGGCCTAGCATATTGACATATTTGTCTTTTGCTACCGACTAAGTATTCCCCACGCTTATAGCAGGGCTTTATTAGAAGTAAAGAGATAGTTCAGTTTAATTATTTGATGAGCTGATTAAGTTGGTTTTAAAACATGGTAGCGGTGTCGACAATAATTCTTGTCTTTGCTTGCTTTCCACTTCCATCTAGACGAAAGAAAATACTGAAAGGATAAACAACATCAGGTCGTGGTTCATGATTGAAATAATAAGGACGTAATGGACAAATACGTTGCCTGCTAATCCATCGATTAGGTGGCTTTAACCTACGAATTTCAGGATTCCCCAATGATCACGCTAGTTTATGGTTATCTTTTCAATTGTTTCTTTGCTTTTTTTTTTTTTTTTTTTTGGCTATAGAAGTTTATAACACGAAATTGTTACTGAAATTGTTCACTACATTCAAATTGGCAACGTGAGTACATGAGTGAGAGATGCCTTTGCCAAGTTCTTGTTTAGTTAAATATCAAATACAGCCAAAATTACATCATCAATCACTTTGATGCCTACATAAGTAATATGGTGGTCCAACCTCAGAAATTGGCTCAAATGTTAATATTGATCTCTGAAAGATGCATCTAATTTTGGCTTTGGGTAGGAGAGGAACAAGTAACAGGAAATCTCGATGCATATAAGCCTGCAACTTGAATAAGAAGATATTCAAGGGCATTTAATAATAAAACTATAATGTTATAAATGGCATCAAAAGTTTTTTTATTTTCAGGCGCATCAAAAGTTACCAAACTAAAAGTTAATTATTTAAAGGGGCCAATCAATATCCACATTCATATATGTTCTAGAGCTTAATATCTAGTTGGGGTGTCTGTTTTTATGAGTGTTTGTCTATACATATATGCATGTATGCATAAATTAGAATTACGAATTTATGCAGTAATTTGTCCTCCAATACATATTGACTTAATTTATAAGGTTACGATGGGCACCTAAATTGATACTATTCCACCACATGATATCATTAATGCATTCAGTTCTAGTATCTTTAGCATATTGGTCTTTTTCCACCGACTAAAGATTCCCCAAACTTATTGAAACGCTTTAATAAAAACACGGAGATAGTTTGGATCATTTCATGAGCTAAGTTGGTTGGAAATCATGATATTGGTTTGGAAAATGCTTTTGGGCTTTGCTAGCTTTCTACTTGCATGTTTCCTGCTAATCCTGGTTAGGTTCCTCAAAAAAGTATGGTTGAATCCAATATGCATACAGTCCTTTATGAGGTCTCAAGGGATCAAAGGTCCTTCTTACCAGCTCCTTCATGGCAATACCAAAGAAATCATCAACATGAGAAGAGATGCTACAAGCAGGGCCATGGAGGATATGTCACACGACATATTTCCTAGAATCCTGCCTGATATATATTCATGGGTGAACATATATGGTAGTGTATTTGTGAGAATAATTTTTTTTTCCTTTTGGCTTGTGTTTATGGTAATTTCTGAGTTTTAAATCATTCTTATTTGGATATTTATGGTATCTTTTCTTTCTTTAATTAGGGGCAACTTACCTCAATTGGTATGGTCCTCAGCCTCAGCTGGTTGTCACTGAACCAGAGCTAGTCAAAGAGATATTAAACAATAAAAATGGTGATTATCCAAAAATCGACCTTGAAGGCTATGCCAAAAAGCTTTTAGGAGATGGTCTTTCGGCATCAAAAGGTGAAAAGTGGGCAAGGATGAGGAAACTAGCCAACCAAGTTTTCCATGCAGGAAGCCTGAAAGTAAGTTGATTATTTGATTTGGCTGGACATTAAGGCTTTATTCACCTTCACCGAACTTACTCTTAGTCAAAGAAATGGATCCTGCAAATGCAGGATATGTTGCCTGCAATGATCACAAGTACTGAAATTATGTTGGAAAGGTGGAAGGAGAATGATGGAAAAGAGGTTGAGGTGTTTGAAGAGTTCAGGCTATTAACATCAGAAGTTATTTCCAAGACAGCCTTTGGGAGCAGTTACTTGGAAGGAAAGAACATATTTGAGATGTTGATGAAACTGACTCTGATAGTCTCCAGAAATGCCCGTAACATTAGATTTCCTGGCATCAGGTAAAATTACTCATCATCGGAGCGCAACATGCTTCATTGTTTGTCCAATTAATTAGTAAAAAGCAAAATATGTTTGTAATTGTATCATGATACCATTAAAGCTTTCAACTTTGAGGAGCAGTTCATTCAACACAGTACAACTTTTCTCAGTTCTCTTAGTTACTAAATACGATCATGTGTTTCGCAGCCACCTTTTCAAAAGCAGTGATGAAATAGAGTCAGAAAAACTTGAGCAAGGAATAAAAAACTGCATAGAACATATTATAAAGAAGAAGGAGCTGGAGAATTGTAAGGAAAACGAAAGCTCCAAAGGTGATTTTCTTGAGAAACTCCTAGAGGCTAATGAAGGAAGTAGCAAATGGATTTCGATAGATGATATGGTTGATGAATGCAAGACTCTGTATTTTGCCGGACAGGAAACAACAACTTCTTTGCTTACTTGGAGCATTCTTCTTCTAGCTGTTCATAAAGAGTGGCAAGAGACAGCAAGGGAAGAAGTGATTGAAATTTTTTGCCAAATGAAGCCCAATGCAGATGCTATCCCTAGACTGAAAACTGTGAGCAAATTCTGTGGTTAGACTTCATGTATCTCTTCTAAAAGCATATCCAGTTTTTCATGAAAACTTATCGATATATTTTGATTTTCGTGTAGATGAACATGATCCTTGAAGAGTGCTTGAGACTTTATCCGCCAGTGCCTGCACTCATGAGAAAAGTTCACAAAAAGGTTAAGCTGGGGAGGCTAACGCTCCCGGCACATACTGAACTGTTGATTTCACCTCTTGCACTTCACCACGACCCTAAGATATGGGGAGAAGATGTTCACCATTTTAAGCCTGAAAGATTTGCAGGAGGTGCAATTAAGGCTACTAACAATAATCCAGTAGCATTTCTGCCGTTTGGCTTTGGACCACGAACTTGTGTAGGCTTGAATTTTGCAATGGTCGAAACAAAGATTGCCCTTTCAATGATTCTGCAGCATTACAAGTTCGCTCTTTCGCGAAATTATGTTCACTCTCCAGTTCAAGTTTTCATGGTTCGACCACACCATGGAGTTAAAATCATTCTCAGTAGAGTTTGAACTGATATTAGGGGATATGCACTCTGCAGCAAATCCATCGAGGAACGCATGAAAATAGCTTGTACTACAGTTTAATGAATAAATTTGTAAATTATGTTGAATGCAAATGTTTGTGTGTTTGTGTTTCTTATTATGACAATAAATTAATAGAGAAGAGTACGTGAAGCATGCTGATAATTTGCAATAGAACACGTCTTTCTTTTTTTTTTTTTTTTTTTTTTTTTGGTTGAATTTAAGAAGCTAAGAGGGGAAGGGGGATTTGAACCTAGAATCTATAAATCCTTAGCCAATAGATTCAAAGCTACTATAGGAACGACTAAATATGTACTACTTGCCATTTGTTACGAAAATTTGATCCAACACAATTATTAATCGAGAATAAAAGAGAGAAAAAAAAAAGGAGAAGTGAACACCTTATATTTTTTTGGCTTGGCATGTTGCTCTTCCATTCAATTACTACTTTTCATTCCTATATTATCTTTGAGAAATATGCCGTCATCTTAATCAAAGAATCAATTCTCTGTTTCAATTTTCAAGAACTGGGACAGGGGAAATGTAGTCAGTGGGAGAGACCGAGTGCATTGGTTTGTTGGAAAACTAAAACAGAGTTTCTTTTTTTTGGGATAATTTCCCCAAGATTATCAGCACTAAGTCGCATCGTTAACCACCATGGAAGATGGAACATCATCTCATTAACTACATTCATGGTCAAGAAAATAATCTATCCCTTCATTAGTACCCACGGTATCCAAGAGTCGAACAAATTTTGTCCATAAATAGGTAACAGATTGCTGCTGTGTGCAGCTAGTTTATAAGATCGAAAAGTTCTAAACAGAACAACATAATGGGTAGTTGTGAAAGCACAGAGAATTCCGGGCATGTTGGGAACTCTACCGAGACAATGACCGAGGAAAAGGAAGAGAAAGCAAAGGAGATAGTCAAGGCAGTGGCTGTAGCAGCAGGAGTAGGTCTTGTGGCATGGGGCATTTGTAAGATCCTGGGAGCAGCGGAAACATCCAGTAACAGGAAAATGATGAAAGCACCAGGAAGGGACTACTACATTTTCAGGGATGAGTTCGAGCGTGACCCTGCTAGCCATTTTCGCAGTCTTCGCGAGTGAATAGGGAAAAGACTAGATTAAAGGTTACTCCTAGTAGTGAATAAAAGTCTTCTGCTTTGGTTGTTCTGCTGGCTGGAAATAGTAGCAATTAAGGCCTAATGAAAAATGTTACAATTATCAACTTAAGTCATATTTGTTATTGCCCCAAGAGGCAGCATATCAATGGATGGTAGAAGCCAATCTTTGCAATCTGAATCTTCCCATTCCCATTTATGGTACGAGGAAAGGAATCCATACAAACGGCTGACACTCCATAAACAACAGAGGACAAAGCTCAATAATATAAATTTTAGAGTTGTAAGCACAAACGCATTCCAAACATGAAGTTCACCAAACAATTACAAGCAATTTAAAAGGGCAGAAAGAAATTTAGGACAGACTTCAGAATTTAACTTTGCCAGCATGGAGAGCACGGAAGTATCCTTTGGGGTTGGCCACAAAGACATGCCTCGGAATCCGAAAGTTTGCTCCAGGGGCTTTCATCATCTTCACTGCCTTGACTCCGCAACAGCAACGAATGCAGCGGCTAAAGCACCAATACAGCACAAGTATGACCAAACCTGCAACAACAAAAGGTGCACCAACACGGAGCCAGTATTGTAGCCTCTCCTTTCTAGTTTCTGGTGGGAAGGCATCGTCCAACCTGCCAATCAGAAACAGACCAAAGTTTTCCAGCATCATGAACAGTTGCTTCAGCTTCTCCACCAGATTGTTCATCATTTCATCTGCCCCCACTGCTTTCAACTTTGCCTGTGTGCTGTTCATCATGATCGTGCTTCCTTCCCCAATTCCTCTCATTTTCTCCTGCAGATTGCCGATCATAATATCAGTTCTAAGTCTCATCTTTCCTTGCTTGATTCTCAAGTGAAAAGAGCAAAAATAATAACAGACCTTTGAAGGGTGGAAGTGTTATTAAAGGCGATTGAGTGCTTTAGCTTTAATTGCGTTGTCCAATAATTAAGGTAGTGGTAGCTGCCACATTGTTTTTCCCCGTAATAGACTAGACTTTATTAAGAGTAATTAGAGTACTAATACAAGTTGGTAAGAGGCTAATAGGTGCTACCCAATTATCAGTCTAACACTAATTGATTTTGATTATGTTAATTGGTGGGGACTGAACGGATTGGGAGCAGGGCAGGGATGGTCTAACAAGGTAGCATTTTTTAAACGTTACCGTAAACTTCTTGTACATCCTTGCAACAGAAGTATAATATTTTATTATTGCTCATATGGGTCTCATATATAATAATTGTATCTCTGTTATTAAATTTTACAAGTAGTTCACGTAGAATTACATCTTATTCAAAAAATATTATATCTTTCAAAACTGTTGCCATAAACAACCGTTCGTGCTCTTGGTCTGCAGGGATTGATCATCTCATAATTAGTGTTGCTATCAACCTGTCAGCTTACCATTTCCGCGCGAATTGGGAACCGTAGAGTCGAGTATTAAAGCGTTTCTATCCATCCTTCCCAAGGCCCACTAATTGCCGGTAATGGAAGCAGACCCAAGTTAGGCTGCTAAGTGCAGTAGAATCCAAATTCAAGTTACCTAAACCAGTATAACTTCTTCCAAGGCAGAGAGACGTTCGACAGAGATCAACATCATTAAGTAATTTCCAGGACCGCCCCATGGGATGGGAGCAGTAACGCGGAAGGAAAGAACACATACTTGGGCATGCATGTTAATGAAACTGACTTTGCTATTCCTATTTCGTACTATATTAAGTTATTGGCCAAGTATATCTATGCATTCTAGAAATGAATCTTGGAGTTTTTTTTTTTTTTTTTGCCAAAATAACCTTTTTTTTTTCAAAAATATTCCCACAATGATTCAACTCCAAATGTTATTACTAATCTAATCTTCTGACTTTATCCCCTAATAAGGTGCAACCTCCTCCATGCTTTCTAAATCAAATTCTTCAAACTCAATCAAATTCTCGTTACCACTATTATTAACATAAGAGGTTCCAAACTCACGGGTATCCATCTAAAATAAAAGCATAAGACTCATTTCCTCGGCCCTACATGCAATTCCCCTCGTATTGCCACATGCACAGTGAGTTCCCGTTCAATAAAGTGTGACAAAATCAAAACTAAAACTCCGAAATGAGTTAATTGAATGAACAAGTGACGGAGAGTTAGGTAAAGACGTACTAATAATTCCAATTTCGCTAGATTTGTAGTGAGTTTTTCTTTTTTTTTTCTTTTTTTTTTAATAGGAAAGAGAGCATCAAAAAGAGAAAATTACGGCAACTGGGATGGAAATAAACAATCGAAATTTTAAATTTTGCTTTCCATGTTTGGTGATAATTCCAGTTTCTTTGGATTTGTAGTGAATTTTTCTTTTTCTTAATAAGAAGGAAAGCAAAATTATTGCAACTACAACGGAAATGAACGGTCAAATTTTAGATTTTGCTCTCATCTTTCGAAATATCGTCAGGTTTATGTTAAGTATTCAAGACTTCTACTCTCATCTTTGAAAATATTGTCAGATTTATATTAAGTATTCAAGATTTTTTTGGAAAGTAGGGTGACAAGTAAAGACGGAGTAGAGTACTATAGTCAGAAAGAAGAAGATACATTCAGAACAGAGTATTATAGTCATGGACTATATTAATGGCTAATGAAGAATTTTACCCTTTTTCTCATTTCCATTTGAATGTGATCCGATGGGTAACAGATAAGGTTGCTATGGGAATAATGTATGAAATTGAATCATTTTAGGAATATTTTTTGTGAAGGGAGTTATTTAGGCAAATAACTCTGAATCTTGGGCAAACTGCATCCATCTTCCCATTCTTATTTTCACTATTAGGAAAGTAGTAATTCATACAAAGCAGTAGTGATATCCCAGAAATCACAAAGTTCAGAAACAGCTTTGTGAGCTGGGTCACATTTGAAACATAAAAAATCCCAAAATGACTACGAACAATTGATCTTCCAGGACACAGAGAGGAAGGCAGGACAAACTTCATGTATATGCGCTACAACTAATCACGACTAGTATTTTTACGTTTACTAGCACGAAGGTCCAGGAAATATCCTTTGGGGTTGTCCTGAAAGGCATCCCTACGGATACGAGAGTCCCTTCCAGGGGCTTTCATCATCTTCCAGTTCGATGGCTTAGTGCCGCCGCCGCCGCGAAAATACACAAACAGCACAACTAACCCTGCTGCGACTAGAAACGGTGCATTAACACGGAGCCAGTGTTGTGGTGGGAAGACCTCTTCCAACCTGCCTAACAAAACCAAACCAAATTTTTCCGACAGCAAAAACAGTTGCTTCAGCTTCACTTGCAGATTGTTCATCATCTCATCTGCTCCCATTGCTTTCAACTTTGCCAGTGTGCTGTTCACCATAATCATGCTTTCTTCCTCAAATCCCTTCAGTTTCTCCTCAAATCCCTTCAGTTTCTCCAGCAGATTGCTGATCATACTGATCATACTCTCAGCTCCCATCTTTTATTCTGTGTGCTACCCAGTGAAAGGACTCGGTAAAAATCTGCTTCGACTTCTAATTAAAAGCTTGAAGAACCTTTTGTGTTTGGCAAAATCCAATCAAGTGAGGGCGCTAGCCATAATAAGCTTGATCAAGTTGTGATTTTCTTTATACCCACGTGAAGGTGAGAATTTTCGGTGCACTAGTCGTAAAAGCGTTTCACTTCACTAGTAGCACTCACTCCTCAGTACTGCCACCAAAAAAGCTTCTTTATTCGGCACAGCAGTGTAGCTAGCGAAGCAAGCATTATTTATTGGATCCGCACATTAATCCGGGACCCAGGTGTCTCCTATCATTCATCGTCTTTGTTTATTTTAGCCACTTCTTACTTTTCAACCAAAGAAAAAGAAAAGGATTTAAAAACTAAGAAGACCAGAGAAGTCTTTCAAAATTCAAATACACGAGGTAGATGAAGAAAAAAGGCCGGGGGTAGAGTTCAACAATATGAGGTCCCATCTCAAGAAGAAGGAGAGCAGACTAATTTGTCCCCCAAAAATTCTTCTCAGATTATTAATCAGCAACCACGATTACCCAAACT